ACAAAAAATAATTCCATACTGTATCGGTCGTCGCGGAGGATAATCAGGACCGCGCTGCCCATTGCATCGAGCGAGGTGGGTGGTGATAAATGGGCTACTGCACAGATATCCCAACCTTTGTTCAACTTCATGTCTTCCGTTCCCAACTCTCGCCCTTTACCCCTTCTTCCAACCCGTAATATCCCCTCAGACAACTTGTTCGTTGCCTGCCAAAGTTCAGCGCCAAGTAGCTCGGTAAGTAGTTCACCACAAAATAGATTGCAGATTATAAAGCCTCGTCAAACACCGAACCTAGGGGCCTTCAACGTGAGGATTCTGATGCAGGTAGGTCAATAAGCGTGTCTGGCGCTTACAATGGACTCTTTGGGGACTGATGTCTGCTGCGCATGGGAGACGAGAATCCAGGATACTAGTACTATAAGCTACTTAGGTTCACCTGGGCTGTCTTCGAGGTTCTTCCTCCGCGCGTCAGGTGATGACGAAGCCCGTTTAGTAGGCCAGCGTGGCGTGGGCATTGTACCCAATAATATAACCGAAGCTGCACTTCTCGATTGGATTTTCGTCAACAGTCGCTTATGTGCGATGCGACTCTAAGGGTCTACCAGTGTCCAAAAGGGAAGCAACACCAAAAGGTGTTTGTTCATCATTTCAGCATATGCTCCGACGAACTGCAGTTCCGACGCACAAAAGGATAAGTCTTATGATAAACTCAACGAACTCATTCGGTTGAGTCGAAGCTCCGATATAGCTGTTCTCGCAGGTGATTTTAACGCTCAAGTTGGAAAACTGAGCGCATCAGAAGCTTGCCTAAGCGGTCGTTGTGCTCTGCCCTGCCAGCGAACAGATAATGGCAATCGGCTTCTGCAGTTCTGCGTAGATCATCATCTGTTCCTATCCAGCACCAACTTCCGACACAGATCTTAACGGACTGCAACATGGCGCTCAAATTAAACTGGCAAGCTAACTCAAATCGACCACATAACAGCAAGCTGCCGTTGGCGTGATTCAGTACAAACTGCAGGTCCTATTGGACCACCTGCGTTGAATCTGATCATGCGTTAGTTTTGATGCAGTGCACTCTCCAACTCTCTGGTCGCAGAAAACCTCACCAAACTCGGTTGGTAGATCATCGTTTATCTGACCCAGCCGTGTGTGCCCGTTTTGAATCAAAACTAGGGCAAGAACTAAACGCGCTGCGGGGAGGTAGTGTAGATGAAGTGAAATTAGACTAGACGAGCAATGCACTCCGCAGTGAGAGTTGCTAGTGGATCCGAAGCAGTAGCCCACCCGAGGCACTGGATATCTGATGAGTCAGTAGCGCTGATGGAGAAAAAGCGGCAAATTCGAACCACCCGGGATCAAGGCAGGGTTAGGTGGCGTCTACAACGTCATCTCACGAGGAGCCTCAAGA